ATTACATATTACCTGCGTACATAACCCTGCAGGCTGCCTGCATCCTGATGCTGGCTTGCAGGGCATTTGGAGTTTATGCTGCATAGCAATATTCCGTGTTAGCACAGAGCCCCTGGATGTTGATAGTGCTAGGAAGGCAATAGTCTCCCCAGTTAGCCTTCAAACAGGTCAAGCGAATAGCTGTTCATGGGGTTGGAGTTTGAATTGCATCACTAACCTCAGGGAGTCATGGTTCAGGAAATCCTTTTGCCCCACTTCAGCTGCAGTGGAGTTTCTCCCACCTCATTTTTCCAGCCTGTCTATGGTGTTTTGGGATGGCGGGCGCATCCTAGTGTGGCTCAAGGAAGTGGTGCAATCCCATGGATCCCTGCTAAGGGAAATGCTGCTCTTCAGGTTAGATTATTTCAGATTCTGAAGTACAAGTGAGCGACCTGTCCTGCTTACCCACGTGTTTGATTTCTTTGGTGACACCATGGTTCTGAAGGTGGTGTGATAGTTAATGTGTAAGAGGAGGTAGGACCATATTTGGTATCCACACCTTCCACTAGGTGTCGTCTGGCCCCTTGGGGAAAGACTGTGTGTGTTTTCCCAACCTGGATGGTTTCTAGGCAGGGCCTGTCCTGCTCAGTTGGTCCTTTTTTAGTCCTCCTGCTGTGTTTCATGGGTCTTTTTGGAGAATTTCTGTTCTATACCAGCTTCTAAGCCAGTGGTTCTCAACCTTCTTGGCCTGGAGGCATCCCTGATTGAACTTGAGAAGTCCCTCCATAACTTATGAATTGAGTAGCACCCATTTTCAAAAATCAATTGATATATTACAATGCTTACCTACTTGTAGTAGGGCCAGGCGGTGGGGGTTGGGTATTGGCCAGGCAGGGACAAACCTGAGCCTGACCTTATCTGCTTATCTCCTCACACTTTGCGACACCGTTTAAAGGATTTCATGGCACCCTGGTTGAGGGTCAGTTCTAAGCAAACAAGGAGCAAAGGGCCATCAAATTTATTCTGTTAATAGATGTTGGTACCTGGTGACCACCTGTAGCATTACATCTATGTCTACATGCAATGGAGACCGAGGTCCATCTCATACTGTAGGTGGAGGGTGGTAACTGTGATGTAGGAAAAAGTGTCCTGGCACTTCCACCTTCAGAATGAAGGAGGTAAGTCCCCTGTTTCAGCACGAGCAATGTCAGAGGTATTTCTTGGCTGGATGCACAGTGAGGTAGCACTGGACGGGGACTGAAGGGTAAGGTTGGTTTTATTCCTGGCTCTGTAACTACTGGTAACTTGCTCTGTAACCCTGGACAAGTCACTTCATGCCTCTACCTGTTTTTCTTCCCACTCAGTGTCTTGTCTAAGCAGATTACTAGCTCTTCAGAGTGGAGACTCTCTGTACAGCAGCTATTACAATAGGAATTGATGCTAGTCTTCAGGCACTATTGTAATACCACCAGAGTACTCCTAGTGTATCCAGTGACAGGCCGACTAAGGTAGCAGCAGAATCTCTGAAGGCTTCTGCCACCAGAGAGTGATGATATCACATGCCCTTGAGCAGGAGTGATCTCTCTACTGCTGCTCTAAATAGAGCCGGATGAAGTGTTCATGGTGAGTTGTCAATCTGGCCAGAACACGGTTTGGAAGGACTTAAACCTGAATTCACTGTTTAACTCAACCCTTAGTTTTAGCTGGAAAAAGTCCAAACCTTTCACTGATGTATTTGGCTTAGAGATGACATTCTTTATTATTTTTAATGCAGGTCAGTTTATCTTAAATAACCAGAAGATGAAATGTATTGGGTTGAATGTGAACTCCTGGGTCAACCCAAGGTGCACTGTCTTTTATTTTCTGTTTTGCCAAAAAGAAGAGAAATTGGGTTAGTGTAAAGCACATGTATTTTGAATATATATTTGGTTTTGCTGCTGCATTAAAAATCACTACTGTAGATATTCTTTTCTCAGAAATCTCTTCACATTGAAAAGGAAGCAACGCTTTAGCTTTTTTGAAGGTATTGGGAAGCGGGTGGGAATGAAGAGAAATGTTTCATTGCTCTTCAGGCAGCACAATGTTGCTGGGAATGGTTAAAATCAAGATGATTTTTTGGAAAGAAACATTTCCTGTCTTGTCTCAAAGACTTGTTAAACAAGCAGTGGAGATCACAAGAGGTGAGACAGCTTTTGAAATGGATGAGGAAGTTATATAACTGCTCTTCCTCAGGCTGTTAGCAAAGAGCCTTTTTTCAACACATGAAGGGCAGGGATAACACTGATGGATGAACAAGGTACTTCTACCTTTAATGTTGCATAACCAGGTAATAAAACAGTCATGTTATCTTGGAGTCCCATGTAACATGGGCACAGCCAGGGTTGTCATATATTCAGCTCAGGGTTTTAGAATCTGTGAACTGCCTTGTGGACAGGGTCTCTTTCCTTTCCTCATCCTCACAGTCTCTGCTTGCCCATCCCTCATTTTCTTTGGCATGTGGTAGCAGCCTATCAAGGAGTCTGCTTCCCTCTCTGCCCCACCCCATGCCCTGGCAATCAGAGGGGGAGAGATTTGAAATAAAGCACCCTTTTAGGAGAGGCAGAGAACACTACAGCTGCTCCTGACAAGACTGCAAGGTGGTGGCATGAAACTAGGCAGCGAGTACATCTTCAGTAGTTCTCTTTAATAATGCCCTGTCCTGAGGACATTGTCTTGTCTTGGGCTGTGTGTGGAATTGGGGAGGCTAGAAGGGCAGTGAGCTAGAAGGCATGTGAGAAAAGCTGAAGGGCTGGCCCCATGGCACAGACATGTTCCCCACCAGTAGTGTCAGTCTAGTCTGGATCACAGTGAGCAGTATCTGCTAGTGGCACCACAACCCCATCAGCATCCCGCTCTATCCTATACAGCAGGGGTGGCCAAAATACAATCTGCAGGCTGGATCTGGACCACCAAGGGACTTTGTATGGCCTGCAATGGGTCCCTTGGTCCTGGCCAGGCCAGGCATGGGGGGTAGCCTGGGCTGTGACATGTATGTATGGTCCCATTGCCCCTGGGCACTTAGTGGGGTCAGAGCGGTGCAACAGCTAGACTCACTTTTCAGCAGCCCTGGTAGTGGTGGCAACTTCCGGCTACTGTTGCTGCTGCTGGCCCTGGCCTTGCTGGCCCTGGCATCCTGACCAACCCGCCGAGCACCCAGGGTGGTGGGCTTCCAATTCAATTTGGAGTTTTTAATCAGCCTCCTGGTTAGATTCGGATTCGGAGATTTGGCCACCAAATTGGGCCGAATCTCGTCCAAATCGAATTGGCTACTGGAGCTTCGCACAGCCCTACTGCCCTCCTACTTGTAGCTGCTACAGTGTATATCTACTCTAAGGTCCTTATCTTACCGTGGAAACCACACAGGCCTAGCGCTTGGGCCTTTTATGGTGTCCTGCTCTCAGTCAAGTCCATGTGGGTGCATGTGCTTGCTCAACAAATGAGACTGAAAGAGCTGAGAGTGAATGTTTCTTTAAAAGCTGGCCTGGCCAATCCCAGCTATTTTTAATTATTCCAAGCACTGAAAGATGAATGCTTAATGAGATTTTTCCCTACTGTGAGAACAAGTCTCATACTCAATGATTTCTGACCCTTATGATATGCCTGGGTTTGTAGTATCATCAACTTTCATTATTTTGGATCATGTGATATTAGGTGATCTTTCCCCTCCCCCCAGTTAGCTCCCACCTCCTGGAATCTTATTTTTTATTTGCAAATGTTTTCAGCTCTCTCAGAGTTGTAGACATGTGAATCCTGAAAGGCTCAAGCTGGAATGCAAGTGAAAATTCCCTGGAACCTTTTTTTTAGCAAGTCAGTTTCTAGAGTATTTTGGCCCCAACACATGATGTTTGAATGCTTGGGGCAGGCCATGGAGTTTATTCCCTGCATGAACTCCCGAGTCCCAGTGGAGCGATGATGGAGAGCACTCCATGTAGCAACAGCTATTACAGAGGAATTCTCAGAGCTGGGTTTGCAGGCACAGCACTAACAGGGCTGGGGTTACAGTATTTGGATCCAAAATTTCCTTTGATTATGTTTTTGACTCTCACCTAGGCTGCAGCTAGCTTACTGATGACATGTTAGCTGCCCCAAATGGGGCTCTATTTCTGTACAAGTGACTGTAGCATTCCTACAGCATTGATTAGGACTACCAAGTTTATTAACAAGTAACCACTAAGTGAGCTTATAGAATGGGTTGTTCTTTAATTTGGGTTGTGGATGGCCTGGAGAGGGTTCAGAGGAGGGCCACTCATCTGGTTAAAGGCCTACAGGAAAAAACCCTATTTGGACCGATTGGGAGACCTGAACCTCTTCAGCTGAGGAGCTGAGAGGTGATCTCGTGGCCACCTACATGCTCATCAGGGGGGGCAACAAGAAATAGGGAATACAATGTTTACCAGGGCACCTGGGGTAACGAGAAATAATGCCCACAAATTGGAAGAGAGCAAATTCAGATTGGACATCAGGAAAAAGTTCTTTACCGTGAGAGTTGCCAAAATATGGAATAAGCTTCCAAGGGAGGTGGTGCTGTACCCTTCCTTGGAGGTGTTTAGGAGGAGATTGGACAGACACCTGGCTGGGGTCATCTGACCCTAGCACTCATTCCTGCCCAGGGGAGGGGGCTGCTTTCCTGCTCAGGGCAGGGGCTTGGACTTGATGATCTAATAGGTCCTTTCCGACCCTAACATCCATGAAACTATGAATGGGCAATATCATCTCGCTGTAAAATCCACAGTGTGATTTAAAAATTAAGGTTTTGCTATAATTTCTGAACAGCTGTATTTAATTTCCTTGGATTTTTAATAACCCTGTTTACTGCAGTATGGACACCTCACACTCTTTAATGTATTCATCCTTATAACGCTCCTGCCAGAGTGGGAAGTAGGGAACTGAGGCAGAGAAAGACAAAGTGTCTGTTTGCCCTTATTTACTCTGACCCTGGAGAGTCATCCTCAACCTGCCCAAGAAACACGAGTTGCCCCTACCTTAATCTGCAGCCCTTGTCAAAACTCCACACTATACTACTTGTCCATGAAGTGGAACCCATCTGGGAATTGGTCTGTGTGCCACTATTGTCCATCCTTATAGCCAGCCCTGGATGGAAAGACAAGAGACAGAAGGTGGGGTGGCAAAAGGCAGGAAGCCAGGAAGAGGGAACTGTGGGGCGGCTGCTGGTTAATTGCCTGTATTGGAGCTGGCACACTTGGGCAAGTTCTGAACGCAGTGCAGGAAGGAGCTGGTGAGGAGGTGACAGGGAGGTGGGGTTGACTTGGGACCCTAAATTCCAGCGGATCAACAGGGGCTGGTATGGGCTGAAGGTAGAGGTCATGCTGAAGGGTTTTCAGTGTAGATGGTTGGTTCTGTGCACTTGAAGGCAGCCTGAAGGTTGACCCTAACTTTCAGTGTAGATGTAGATAAGTGACTTGCCTTTGGATGCACAGGAAGTCTTTGGAGCAGAGACATAAACCCAAGTCCTAAACTAGTGCTTGAACTACTGGACTATTTTCCTGCTTTATTAATGTCACCCGCTCTCAATCTCACATCCCTTTCCAATCTCTAAAACATCTTTGTTGTATGGGCTCCAATAACTAAGGTTTGGAAGATTTTTGCCTCTTTCAGGAACACAGTCATTCTGTTCCCCAGGGCTGAACGTGGGCTTTTGCCCTCCCATCCACAAGCACTTTGGCACGCGCCAGCTTAAGAACACACATGAATTGGATGTCATACATGTGACTCCAGTGTAACATCCCTTCCTCTGTGTGCCTGAGAGGGTTGTGGAGGAATATATGTATTGTGTGTATTCCATTTTTAAGCCTAATTTGGAATGAAGAGGAGGTGACATCTTCATGTGACTACAGTTTTAGCAACATAAAAACCCCAAGGTGCAAATCAAACGGGACAGTTTTACATACACGAGCGCTGCAGCGCTGGGCACTTTGAAAAGCATGTGGTGCTGTGACACTTGCAGTTGTATAAGCGGTGAAATGCACATCAGCACTGAGAAAATGACAGCAGCATGCTTTTGAACTAAACTTTGTGAGACCTTATCAAAAACCTTGCTAAAGTCAAGGTATACCATGTCCACTGCTCTCCCTACACTGAAAGAGCCAGTCATCTCATCACAGAAGGCAAAAAGGTTGGTCAGGCATCAGTGTTCATGTAGTATGCGTAGATGTGATTGTACAATAGCTTAAAATGAAGTCTTGCTCTTGTATATCATGGTGGGCATTAAGGGGTGGGTATAGGTTTGTGGGAGATTGTGGGGGGATAGGGGTGTGGTTGTGGGGTAAGGGAGCAATGGGTGTGTGTGTAGATATGTGGGGGGTGGGTGGGTATGGGGTTTGTGGTGGGAGGGTGACTGAGGTGTGTGAGGCAGTGTGGGGGTCTGCATGTATGGCAAGGGGGTTGTAGGTGCATGTTTATGGTGGTGTGTGCATGTGGGACACACACACACACACACACACTTCCCTCTCCCTCCCTCATTGCACACACACTGTGTGCTTCCCTCACCTCCCCCACACACACACTATGCTTCCCTAGCTACACACACACACGCACACCCTCCTGCTCCTGGCCCCAGGGTACTCACTTAGTCCCTGTGCTCCTGCAGTCCAGCAATGCAGTGGGGGGCCTGCGCATGCAGGGAAAGCAGCTGGGCTGGCCTTTCTTCTGACTTCTGCCGTCTTCCCCTGGGTCCTACTACCCCTGGATCCTATCATCTTTGACAGGCAGCCAGGAGCAGATAAATATTAATTTTCTAAACTTTTTAGGTGCCCCGCAGGCTAGATAGAATGTCCTGGCAGGCCAGATCTGGCCCATGGGTCATATTTTACCCACCCCTATTCTATATTCAGAGAGAGAAAAAGATCTCTACAATAATCTCACCCAGTCCAAGATGTTACTTTGCTCAGCAAAAGATGACCACTCAGTTACTGGAAGCAAAGGGTATGTCATGGGCTGGGACAGTCCAGAGAGATGTTGAAGGCTGGATGTATGATGATGATGACGACTGATTTTCTTGTTACCCCCTTTTATGCCATTTTTCAACTTCAGTCTTTCAATGACTCTTTGCTTTTGGATTGGTCTCTCTGAGGTCAGCATACTGTTCATTCTTTATGCTGTCAACATATTCCTTTGTTCAACAAACCCATCACAAGCACACTTCTTAATTTGGCCTTTTTCCAGTGTCTTACTTTGGACATTGTCCATTATCCTCCCTTATCACCTTTCATTAATATAACCAATCCTTTCATCCCTCTGATTCAGCTGGTTAGTGCCAAGTTCAGTTAATTGGAGTTGGTAATAAGGCCATTGCTATCTTACGTTAAAAGAACTTCTCACGGTGATAAAAAAGAAAAGATATACAGGCAGTCCTCAGATTTATGAGACAACTGGTTCCTGAAAACTGCGTCTTAAGTTGAAAAGTTGTAACTTGGAACCAATTTTCCCATAGGAACACTGTTATAAATGGGTGACTGGTTCCTTTACTATGCTTGATATAGCTGTGTCCAGCTGGTAAATCTGTTGTGGTGGCGGGGCGGGGGTGGTGTGAGACAAAGGTGCAGCTCATCTGGGGGAGGGAGGGGTGGCTCCCACCACTGTGTACCGCTGGTCTGGGAGCTGCTCATCTGGCGACTCCTGCCACTCATCCAGGAGGGCATGGGAGTGAGGGGGTGTGCCCCTGGATTTGTGAAGGGCAGGCAGGGCTGGGGCTGCACCGTGCTGTGGTCTAGGTGGGCAGCGAGGGCTACGGTGAATTTTTGGGTGACTGCAGCCCTGCTCTGCCACCTGCCCCGCCCTACCCTGCCCCACCCCACCTTGATATGGGGGCACACCCCCCTACTATGCCTCCTGCCACTTGCCCAGTCGGGGCAGGGTGGGCATGCAACAGAGCCATGAGTCATCGGCGGGGGGCAGTTCCTGCTACTGGTCTGGAGACCATGCAGTGGCTCCGTCCTGTGCCTACCCTGCCCTGCCCCCCCTCCCCATGCATTCCCAGCCGAGCGGCAAGTCGCCAGACGAGCAGCTCCCAGACCAGCAGTGTGCAGTGGTGGGAGCTGACCCACCCCCTCCACACACCCCCTGGAGAAGCCATGCCTTTGTCCCATGCTCCCCACCCTGGCTGTGCATTGCTTCCCCCCCCCTCTCCCCTCACACACACGCTTACCTGTTGTGGGGTGTGCCTGAGTGTCTGTCTGTCTGTGTTTGTGCCTCTGTGTGTCAGGCTGGAGGCTGTTGGGGGAGCAAGGGGCACGAGGAGGGCTGTGGGGCTGTTGTAGGGAGAGTAAGCGGCACCAGCAGGGCCAGGGGAGGGGAGGCTGTGGGAAGCCTTTAATCATGTATTTTGGGGTTTTTATAAGAGAATTTGTGATTTTTTTTATTTTATCGGGGAAAACCAGGTTCCCTGGTGATCTCCTAAGACCTCTCCTTTGGTAGGTCACCTTTAGCCTGAGTGCAGGTCAGTTTTGCATCCAGAGCCAGTTAAATCGAATGGCTGCCAACAAGGTGGACTTTGGCCACTGCCTCTGAGATTAAAATGCAAGTGTGCTTGGTACTTGGCAGTGTGTGCAGCTCCTGGGAAGTAATGCAGGTGTAGGAATAGAAAGGTGCCTGTGCTCTGGAAGCTGAATAATAAATTTAATAGCTCCCTGATACAGCCATTCCATCTATTAGCTGCAGGAACAGAGCTGCCTTAGCTTCTCAGCTCCCCTCCAGAACAGGCAAGATCAACTGAGATCCAGAGACAGCTGCAGCGAATATCCATAGTCTCTTCTCTGTTTGCATGGCAATCGGGTTAGCTGCATGGTCATGGAGTGCTCCTGTCATGAACATTTCTGGCCCACAGGTCCCAACCTACCATTCCCTGAATTTGAGTTGATTGTTTTTCTTGTGCTTGTTGTGGTCCTTCGTTCTCTTAGGATTATGAACTCAATGTGGTTTGTATTTCTCACTTGAGGTATGGGTAAAGAATGTAGTGGATGAATACAGAAGGAAGAGCCTGGCAAGAACAGTCTCTGACCCATTAACAATTGCCCTGGAACATACCGGGAGGCTGAGGGAGGTTTCCAAAGGACTGGAGAAGGGTAAACATAGCACTGATCCTTTTTTCAACATAAAAAAGAACAGAGGAGAACCCAGGGAGTTATAGACCTACCTCAATACTCAGAAAAATGCTTGAACAAATTATTAAACAGTCCATTTCAAAGCACCCGGAGGTTAAAATGGTGATAAGAAACATATCCTGTCAAAACAATTTAATTTTGAATTTAGGTGGGCAACTGGTTTAGTCAATAAAAAGGAAAGAGGTTGTAGAGAAACCTTGACCTGAGTAAAGATTTTAATGCTATTCCATGTGACATCCTCTTAAGTGAACTTGGAAAGGGATGCTTTAGATGAAATTATGTAAGGAGTGCACTGGCAGATGAAAAGTTGCACTCAAAGCCTAGTTCTTGTAGTTCACCATCACACTCAGAGGACATTCCAAGAAGTATCCTCTAGGGATTTTAGTCGCATTTTATTTCCTATTTTCATTAATGACTTGTATGATGAAATAGAAAGAACACTTATAAAGTTGGTGTATGACAAGCAAAGAGAGGTTTGCAGGCACTTTGGAGAGCTGGGACCAGAATTCAAAATAATCTTGAAAAAAAATGGAGAAATGGTCCAGAATCAGCAAGATTAAATTCATTAAAGGCAAGCTTAATGTGCTGCATTAAGGAAGGAGACGTCACATACACAAATAAACAATGGGGGATATCTAGCTTAGACAGCAGAACTGCTAAAGATGATGTGGGTGCTATGACATACCACAAGTTGAATGAGTCATCAAAATGGTACTGCTGCAAAAAGGGCAGATATCATCTGGGATGAATTAACAGGGGTGTTGAACACTATGTTACGTATATAGACAGATTGCAGAGAATCTAGAAAGGAGCTACAAGCCTGATAAAAGGTTTAGAAAAGCCTTCAAGAGACGAATAAGAGAATTAAGTTTGTTTAGACTGAAAAAGAGAAGATTGAATATGAGCACAGGTCTTCCAGTATAGGAAAGGTTGGAAATAGGATAGCAGTCAATTGTTTCTCAAGTTATCTGGGAAAAGATGACCTCTGTGTGGTTCAGCTTGCTCTGCTACGGCTCCTTTCACAGCTAATACATATTTGGACTTCGTGTAAGATAGAGTTTGATCTAGGCAATGCACAAACTCTTAGCAAATGAGGCAGCTCTTATGGTCTAGGTCAAGGTAGACAACTTTTTCTGGCTGTGGGCCTGAATGACACACCCCAAGTCAGAGGTGGAGAGATGGGTGGACAGGCACTAGGACCTTACTGCCACTGTCAGTGCTGCTTGTCTTTTTGGTGGCAAGGGGAGAGTGCTTGCAGCTGAAATGCCCCCCACCAAATGTCACTGAAGTCCTGTGTCTGCAGGCCAGATTCAATGGTTCTGTTAGCTGGATCCAGCCTATGGGCCATAGGTTGCCAATCCCTGGTCTAAGTAAAGCCTGAACAAAGCCTTAACATTGATACCAGAGCTAAGTTTACTGAGGGCCCTGGATAGATCCTTCTTGAGAAAGTACTGAGAGATCTTAAACTTCCTCTTGGACATACCCCAGGGATAGACAGAAGGGCCACTGACTTCACTGCCCCTTAAAGTTAATTTAATTTTAAAGCAGTAGTGGACAAAAATGTTACTTCCCATAGTAGAGGAGAAGAAGGGATATTTCCCTTTCATGCTATTTATCTAGTACTTGAATATTTATATTTTTTCAGGTCAAAAATCCTCCTCAGTCAAGATGGGGGAGGGGTAGTTGACTGCTCAGTCCCTTATTAAGTCAAACTGGTCTGAAGATGAAAGAAAAGAGATGGTATGCTAAGACTGCTTTATTTTTAATTTTCTATCTCTAATAACTTCACAGCTGGAATTCTACTTTTGAGCCAGGAGAGCATTCTGAAAAGCAGCCCTATTTCTTCCACTTTCAGACTGGAGTCAATATTACTTCTTTGACCCCAAGGAGCTAGTCAAAAAGTTGAGATCTTGTGAGATATTACATCTTAGATAGTGGAGCAAGGCAGATTTTTTGTGCAAAAACTGTAAAAGATCTGCTTCTATCCATACAAGAGAAATCCAGCAACCAGAGGAGGTTCCCCTCTCAGCCAGTGCCCAGTCCAAAAACCTGCACAGGCTTTTCCTCGGGGCATGATCCTAGGCTGTCCCTGTGTTCATGTGCTGAGCTCCCTTCCTTTTTCTGCTTCTCCTACAGATGCATGTGAGAATAAACCCACTCTTTCTCCCATTTTCTCTAGATAGCCGGTAGACACTTCTGTGCCGTCATGAGCCTTACATGTGTTTTTTGTTGTTGTTTCCCCCCATTGGCGATATGGGCCTGTTTGGCACAGAGGCTGCTGTTGTTTCATAAAAGATCTTAACTACTTCTGACAACTGTTGTTAATGAAGAATGATGTGTGCCCTTCCAGTGAGAACCTATCCATTATCCATAATAGATGACCAAAATCAGTTCCATTAATTCTTGTTTTATATGTAATTTTAGTTGCGTGTGTGTGATTTTTAGTAAAGTCTAAGTGTCTTAAGCTTAGACCATATTGCAGTGGTGAGATTCCCTTTGTCAAACCCCCTCCCAGTCCAAGAGCTCTGTACTGTGGCCACTACTGTAATTCTTCCACAGGAAAGTGGAAAAGCATATATTCACAGATGGGAGGCAAGGAACAGCCAAGAGCATTACACGGTACCTCTGAGCAAGGTCTCTGTGGACTGTCAGCATAATCAGCATCTCTGGAGCAAAGTGAATTATAGCTAATGCAGCTAAAACTCCTCCTGCCAGTGTCTGAGTAGCACTTGTGCCTGTGAAAAATCCTGTAGAAGTCAATGGGCAAGTACTACCAAGTGTAAGCTAGGATTTGTGGAATACAGCTCTTGACGCATACATGGGTATACTGTGGTGATCCTCTAGGAATTCCAGG